AAAAACAGGAGAAAAGCAAGGTGCATACTTTTCGTTGAACCACTCGATATAAAGATGTGTAGATCAAGCAGAGAATTAACTTACAAACTACCTCTTTAATAGAGCATATACTTTATGCCTGCCCCGCTGCGGACCAAATCAGGTCTTTAGAGTTCGGCAGAGCCGAAAGACCTGAAAGACCACTCACCGTACAAACTAATCGGCTTCGTTAAGAAGCTAGGTTTATTTGGTCGAGTGTGAATAGGTGTAAGCCACAATAAACCATTGCGAGTTGCGGTGGAGGGTCGAATAGATCAACTCACTTTGGACCTAACCTAATCTAACCTACGTGATCAAGTGTGCCAACCTGAAAGCCCTGTATTTCAAAGATGACTCTAGCAAAGCATCAAGTGTGCTACATTTTTGAAAAGGTAATTTTAAACTCTATTGGAATATGCAGGAATATACATGGTGTATCATTGAAAAAAATAGTTTTCCATCAATAACTCTCAATATCTCATTTGAAGAAATGAGTTTTTGACTCCATTGAGTTCTATGCTTCGGTGCTTCTGAAATGTTTCCATAGAAACAAACATTTTTTTGTTACAGCAACTTTTCGAAAATGCACGTTTTTCAAAAATATGCTTAGAAACCATGATAGATATCGACATGCGGTTTTCACCATTAAGTTTGTCATAAAATTTGATACTCAGACACAGTTATCATTTTTTATCTATCTAGTTTTAAAAATATCCAATTTGGCTCACTCTGTACAAACTTATACCAAGTATCAGCAATGATAATAGTTTCCACTTACTTTTGGCAGGCATCTTCCAATTGGCCTCCATATATTCCACAACAAATGTCGTTCAGGACTGATATAGAACACGAAAGTAGAGGATTTGATTCTATTTGCAGTTTGTATGCGTTTGTCGTGATTATGAATCCATTAGGAACGATAAACTAAAAAAAAATAGTTAATTTTTTTAAATTTGAACATTCTCATTGGCAAAATTTGTACGTCTCCAGAATTCAATGAAGTTAGTAGAGCCAACGAATTTCCTTTTCCACCAGTGATTTCCAGAATTTGTGATTCTTCACTGCCTAGTTCCGATAACAAAAAGGACGGTGGGTTTTCTATTATTTTTGGAAACAGTTTTTTCTCTGGGATGAATATATCTTCACCTGAAATCGCTCTATATTTTAGTGACTATAATAAATGTTTAAATATTTACCTTCATATTGAAACCAGAATTCAACTAGTGCCCTTCCTTGGTTCATATTCACGTCACATTCTGAAGGTACATTGTAACATTCATAGCCATATTTACTTCTATTTTTGAATATTGATATTTTGCTTGTGTCTAAATGTAAAACGCATTTGTACACTCTTTTTTTCACTGTTATATGAGTAGTTATCAATTCTGGAATAATTTTATTTTTACCAAGGTGTTCCAGCTTAATATCAACATTTCTTATTGGCAGTCTTTTATTGTCACTCGTGTATGCGAAACCGTAATTCATTCTAGAAAAAAACATCATATTTGTGAATATTCTGATAGATGGAAGTACTATAAACTTACTACATCGTGGAAGTTATTAGATTAAGGTTACCACCGCCAATGGGGAAAATAGGTTTGGAAGATTAAAACAGTTTTAATCTTCCTCTTTGAAGATGATCACTTGGGGATCGAAACACGTGTCGAGGTGTTAAAAATAACGATTTGGTGTTGGGAAAAAACTCCAGTAATATTCATTTCTACACCAAAGATCCAAACAGTGCATCATAAGGGAAAATAGGTGTTCAAAAAAAACGTTTGGGCAGGAATATTGGGAAACCATATTGTAGTACCTCTATTTATTGATCATAATTCAACAGGGGAACTGTATTCGGATATGCTGAAAATTAGTGTTGACCCTCTCATCAATGAAATATTCGAGTCGAATCCCAATGAATTCGATATGGATATTGTATTTCAACAAGATGGAGCACCACATTACTGAAGACAAGTAAGAAACTATTTGGATACTACTTTTCCCGGTCGTTGGATTGACCTTCGAGGTCCTACAGAATGGCCAGCCCGCTTGCCAGATTTGATACCTTTCGACTTTTTTATGGGGCTATTTGAAGCAAAGGGTGTACGAAACTGAACCTGCTTCAATATTTGATGTACGACAGAGAATAATAAATATTTGTTGAGATATTGACGTTACTGTGTTCAAAAATGTTCGGTGTGAAATATCGGATAGGCTGTTCATATGTCAAGAAGTTCAAGGCAACCATTTCGAGCATCTTCTGAACTGACCTCAAGCTTATTACCTCATATTATGTAGTTAAATGTCAATGTATTCAGGCAATTATTAAAAGTTCCACCATTTTGTAGTGGTTGAAGATATTGATATTATATTCTAGGGTTGTGAAGCATTTGTCAGGAGCTTCAAAAAGATGTGT